GTCTGCCTCAGTCCTTCACCAGAGGAACTTATTTGTTGACAAGTTGAGACCTTGGGCATCACCTACCATCTGAACCCCACTTGCAGATCTTTTTCTCTTTCCTTGCTAGTCATGTGGCCCGTTCCTACAGTTCTGCTCAGGGACTCACAAGACATACTGGGAGGAGCGTGGAACTAGAAGTTGAATCCTAATGCCTACACTAATACAAAAGAGCTGTGTGAGATCAGGCACATCTCTTAACCTTTGACCCAGGTTCCACAGCTGTAAATAAATTTCTCTAGATCCCAGCAGCCTCTGCTTATTGAGGATAATAACCCCGTTTAACATCTCTTGCCCTGCATGAGAGCATCTCAGCCTCCTTGAAACCCGCTGACTCCATGGCTTCTCTAATAATTATGAAGTCTCCTTCATTCATTTAGCGAGTCAGCTGTGTGCAAGATTTATGCTTGATACTGGGACTAAAAAAAACAAATGAAAACACTCATGTTGCCTATCCAGTGAACCCTCAAGTTATGCCCAGACTGACATATGAACAACTTGGGTTAATTAGGTTAATGGAAGATTCATCTACCTCTTGTTATCTATAGTGTGTACCCAGGTAAATATCCAAATCTCAGCTGTATTGACCTAAACCAACTTGAGTTATAACCAGCCCTTAGGAACCAATCTAGTTCATAAGTCAAGGGTCCACTGTATTGGTATGAAATATGATTATCATTTACAGAAGAAAATTCTGAATGCTACAAGGATCACGGATTGTAAGGTAACGAGTGAAAGTGGGACAGAAATTGGAAGGCGGCCACTGTAATCCCAGCAAGAGAGGATGGGGTAGCAGGGTTTGTAGGGTGAAGATGAAGAATTCAATAATTATTTTAGAAGTAGAATTGACCAGTATTATTAAAGGATTGGATAGGGGAGGTGAGAGAGGGGGAAGAACCAAGGTCACACTCAAGTTTCTGGCTTGATCTTTCATATTGATTGATAAGAGAAACCTGAGGAGGAGCAAATTTGGAGATGGGGCTTGTAATTTCTCTTTGAGCATCCAGCCTGCAACATATCCAAGACATTCAGATGGAGATGTCAGATAGGCACCTTTGGATATACAAATCTCCAGTATATAAGACGTAAATATCTGAGATTTGTCAACAAGTACATAGTGATTAAAGTCTTGGGAATGGAAGAGCTCACCAAGAGAAACAGAATAGACTGTCCTATGTGACTATTGCAAACTTCTTGAATGGTTTGGTTCTGCCACTCAAAAATAATGTTCACACCAAGAGTGCTAATCCCTCAGAGCAGTACTCCCTGGGGTCTTACAAGGTTTTCATACAGTTCACAGGTTCTCCACAGGCTTCACTAGGCGGAAGCCAGGGCAAGGGCTGGCCAGAAGTGGAGCAAATTCTCCCTTCCCTACACAGTGTTGCATTCGGTTACTTGAACCACAAAGTAGTCCACTGGGTCTCTAGTACTCAGGAAAACATTGCCTGCAAGTCACATTTATTCTCCACAAGCTAGACACCAACCAGCATGTTAGACAGGCTGTGGCTATTGCCCAAAGACCGAAGTAAAATACTGCAAGTGTATACCATTATACATGTGTTGAGCAGGCTCACCCAACTCATCTGAGACCCCATTGAGGCTCAGGCTACACCACCACCATCACTACCTCCACCACTATCACCATCATGCTACTCGAATAATTCTGGCAGAAAATTTTCCCAACCTTTGGCATCATCATCTAATTAATGGGCTTAGTCGTCTACCTTCTTAGTGACTTGGCTTTGTGAAATGCTTGCTCCAAGAAGGTCTAAGAATGCAAAGAATGAAGCACTTGTTCTTAGTTTTATAGATCACCTATAGACCTGTTGATTGTCACATGCCAAAAGGAATACCACCACCAACAAGAGCTGTAAAAGCTAACACACAAACCAAACCTCACGTTAAACCTTCTTGTGTGTACAACACTAAGTGAAAGGGGAAGAGCACTGAGAATCTGCAAGAAAGCATCTGTGGACAAGGTGAGTACTGTATAACCATTAGTATGACTGGACCATGACTTGGGGACATTCCAGGACTAGTCGAGAGATGGGTAAAAGCAAGAAAGATGTGTGCCACGAGCAATCCAGCATATACTCACTGTCTATGCTATGGGTTCCTCTTACATCAGCCTTGCCAGGCTCTAAAATGAGCCTGAGGGAGAAGAGTAAAATACCAGCCAGTCGTGCATCCACAGCTACATGTATGTTGACATGTATGCAAATGATGTACCACATAGACTGGAGTTGGGGCCTTATTCAAAGCAAACAAAATGTCCTAGAAAAGGAAGGGTTGTGCTTCACTACTCCCAGCACAACTAAACACCTCTCTTTTGGCTGTAGTGGGGTCCTGGCATCAACCTTAGGACTTCATGAATGCTAAGCACATACTCTAGGGCGGAGCTATACCCCCAGCCCTGAAAACATCTTTCTTGAAAGCCAATCTTGTTTAAAAGATAATCTTCCTTCTTAACAAATGATTGAGCTTTAGGCTTTAAGTTTAACAGGTAGTAGTATCTAGCTAGAATTTAATATTATTTTGCTTTTATTTATTAATGTCAAGTGACAATTATTTTTCATTTACAGTAGTAATAAATTTTCTGTTCTAAACAGTTTATTAATGAATGATTTAAGATTTAATATAGAATAATATTAAGGTGGCAATCATATAGATGGTAAATTCTTATGGTCAGAATTATGACAATAGCTAGGCATGGTTGCCCACCACTATAAGTTTAGTATTCTGGGAGGCTGAGGCAGGAGGATTGCAATTTTGACCCCAGCCTGGGCAACTTAGCAAGACTCTGTCTCTAAATAAAAAAGAAAGAAAATGGGCTACAGATGTAGCTCAGTGTGAAGGCCCTGAGTTCAATCCCCAATACTCCCTCCCCCCCCACACACACATTCACACACACACACAAGGTCAGCAGTTTGCTGTATTACTAAGGTATCGCTAGATTGTTAGGGATGAAGCATGGTAAATGGATAAAGTTTAAAGCCACAAATAGGAGTGCCTGTCTTCCTTTAGTACTTTTTACCTAGGTAGCTTTTGGCAAGGTGCTTAAGGTCTTTAAGTCTCAATGCCTTCACATTCGTTCATTTATTTATGGTACTGGGATTGAACTCATGGCCTCACTTACTGGGCAAATGCTCCATCACTGGGGTATAGCCCCAGCCCTCTCCTCATCTATGTAATGAGGATGCCATTTACAGGAATGTAAGGACTATTGGGACAAATATGGAGGTCATAAAATTGTAGACATTATTAATCTTCTTTATAACTGTCCAACAAGCTCTTCAAGATTAATCAGGCTGATTCTGACCTGATTTCTCTAATTCTATGAGACATTAGGTCTGCAGAGCTATAATTGGGTTTAGAAAGAAATAAAATATTTTATTTGTCTTTATTTCTTCATTAACTTAAATGGGACCTTAAGGACTCAGCATAATACTTGCCCTCAGCTCTTCCAGAAGAACTTTATGTAACTGTGTGGACCACCTACCTAGTCCAAGTCAAGGATGTCCGCATTCTAATGTTCTTCTGAATGTATTTTGTAACACTTTTTAAAATAAACTTTTAAAAAAAGATATGGAGAATATAGCCACTAAAAACATGTAATGCTGAGAAAAGCAGAGAAAAAAAACCACTTAATCCGCATTCCACATTTTCCACCACCCTTCTTCCCCTCGAAGTAGCCTGAGCACATTGCTAGTGCGGCAAACAAAAACCAAGAGCACTGCCATGGGTTCTTGGCTTTCCACTTCAAACCTAGTATATGCTGAGACTTGGAAACCAACAGATTTTCCTGTAAGTGTGACCCCCCTGACTAAGTAAGAGGTAAACTGGACTAGCATAGTCTCTTAATGAAAAGAGTGTGTTTGATTTTCCAGCTCTTGTAAAATCATTAAAGTGGGGACATAAAAGCAGTTTTCTCTCAAACAGTAGCAATGATTTTCATTTTCCAAATTAGGCATTGACTTTTTGGAAAGCCTGTCATTAAAGGATTTCCTGCCTGCTGTCCTCTGCTTTGATTTCCTGGAAGTGTTTTATTAAGTGGGTCATCTCATATCACAAAGGAGAACAAATACAGGATGGTGGTAATGTTCCCACATAGTTCTGCAGTTCTTATTATAAGCACCATGTGTGAGCAGTTTGTGACTCTTGTCAGTTTTCAGCATGGCGATTCATTTGTCTTTTACATTTGTATCCTTTTGTCACACTTCTTCCTAATGAGCTACCAAATTCAAATGGGTCTGATATTGTTAAAAGTGGCTTTTAGAAATGCCTTTTTTCATAAGTTTTAAAGGATGGAATGATATCATTTCAAGTAGCATAATAATGCATGATTTTTATTAAGAAATTACAGGATGTTTTAAACAGTTTTTAAAAAAATGATTATATACCCACATGCTAATTTCCTATTAGAAATTACAACTTTTGATTAGCATAAAAGACTGAAAACTGTGCTCTGTCCCCTACCCTTCACACCAGTTAAATTTGAATGATTTCTACAGCTCATTAATGATCTGCTTAAGGCTATTAAAATGACTTTGGTTTGCAAATCCTGGTCATATTAACATAACCACAAATATACATAGAAGACAAATGTACTTCTAAGACCTGGTACTTTAACAGCTTCAAAATTTATGCTTGAGGCACTGGAAAATTATCAAGAAATCAAAAATTGAACTCTGACACAGTGGTTTAGATATTCAGAAGAAAGCAAAGCACATGGTTTACAGAATTTGAGCTTAATCTAGGGATCCAAATATTTCAAGTTCAAATAAATCCTCACAAGACTGCCTGCTCTTCTGATTGCCGAGTCTAAACAGCCATTAGGCAGGATCTGACCTGTGCCTACAAAAACATGTAAACCAACAGAAACAAAATCGCAAATCTACATAAAAGCCACACCCAGAAATAAGAACCCCTTAATTTTAAAGTTAATATAAACATAACGATACCTGATCTTCAGCTCTTTGGTTTCTCAGCGTTGATAAATATTTCCTAATTGCATGAAGAGGATATTTTTTGAAATAAGAGAATCTAGATGGAGGCAACAGATTATCCATCCTGAGAAAAGCAAGAGGGTCCTGATCTGCCCCGCCCTGTCAGCAACCATATGAAATTTAGAAAGTTTGCAGTTCCTCAGATTCCGAAAGGTTTGTCTGTAACTTGACCACTTCCCTGCAAACAAAGCAGATGTTTTTCTCCTTGTGTCTTACTCTTCTGGATAAAATTCCTGGAAAAACAGCTGGATAGGAACAATGCCTAGAAGTGTCCAGAAATGCAATGCTCAAGAGCAGTAGGGGCCAAGAGGAATTTAGGGGCTGGCCCAGAGAATGCAAATCGCCTGGTGGTAGTGATGTGTCTGTCCTATTTCTAGCAACAGTGTTCTGTTGCAAGCTATGATAATATTAGCTACCTTGTGACTTTCCATACCCATGGACTCTCATGAGGTTTTATTGCAATTCTGACAGTTTTTCTAGTTTTTCAAGGAGGGCATGGCATGTGGTTTCTCCTGTTTCCTTCTAGATTTCTTATCATTGTGTGTACACACTGACAATGCTCAGCTGCATCTCAGCTCTAAAGTGTTGATTCATTCAGCCTTGAGAAACATTGTTTTCAGGGACTTCTAAAACAAAATAGCAAATTGGCTCACCCTTCATGGTTATCAAGGGGTTCAGCAGCAGCACTGAAAACCTTGGGTTTGCAGTGTGATACAACATGCCCAGGAACCAGACACTTTACATTAATTGAACAATAGCTGCAAACAGATTCTGTTCTGAGTTAAAAGGCTTCTCTCCTTGAATCCTTACCACAAATCCACAGGCAGAATTCAGAAACATTAAATTTCCTCAGGCTTTATTCAAAATATAAGGGAGAAAAAGGTCATACATTTACTTTCTAACAATTCTAAAAGGATTCGTGCTTTTAAAAGAAAGAGCATGACAAGTCTGTGGTCTTAAGGGACATGAAACCATACTTCTGAAAGTTTTTTAGTATTCTATAGAGGCCACAAGTCTTCTAAACTAAGTTCTCAGCTCAATTAGACTTCATTCTCTTATTATCCTTTCAAATTTTATAGTAGCTGGTTTATTTGATGGAAAACATTTGGCTACTTCTATGAGGGCCTGTCCTTTACAGACTAGGCTGGACATCAACACAAAGCATGCGTTTCACAGATTTGCTCTAGGGTGCAAAGAGAGCTGCTCTTTCCTCCTTCAGAGACAGCAGTGGTTCAGAGAGGGGCAGGGAGAGCTGGGGAAACTGTGCTGCAGTCCCCCAAGACAGCCTGGCCAGCACTCCTGGACGCCCCCTACCTGCAGGGAGCACACCTGATAGCCTGATGTGGGCTCTGCAGCAAGCAGTTCAGCCATCTGTCAGGCTGACACAGGACCCACTGGGAAGGTGATCTTTCAGACTCACCAGGGCCAGCCTGGCAATTCCAAGAATCATTTATACACTGCTGCTGGGGCTGGCTCCTAGGAGGAGGCTCAGCCAGGTTCACTGCTACCTGCTTACAGAGGCTCTGCATGTTCTCCTCTATGTGTAGGAGACCTCTGACTCTAACGAGGACAACAGAGAAGCAGTGTGTTTGTGAACCCCTGAATTCTGGAGGCACCCTCGCTGCCCTCACAGTTCATGGCCCAGAAAAACAAGCAGCTTGGGAGCCCGGACATCCTGGGCCAAGGGAAGGCCCTGGAAAGAAGGGTGCTCCCGGGGATGGTGGAGGCAAGCAAAGGTGTCATTGATGTTCCCTTAAGAAACATAACTGTCCTTTGCTTCTCTTTTCAGAACATCTAAACCTCCAGGGATGCCTCTTTATTGTGGGCAGAAACCAGCAGTCTGCCAAACACCCACAGCATGGCTGCTGATCAAAGCCTTTTCCCAACCAAAGCACAAAGCAGACTTCATTTGGGATAGTTGTTTCATGATCACTTTTTCCTGGGCTGAGGAGAGTGATGAAAAGAGATGAAGAGGGACAATAAAAGAAAAAATCAAAAATTCTGTTCTAGTAATTGAGCATAATAGAGAAACGGGTGAAACAAATGTAACTAAAATTTCCTTGAGTATTCAATTGATAAGAAATATAAATCATATCTAATATTTATTTGGCCCTTTGGCCAGGGCCATTGTGTTACATTTTTTCTACTGTCTCAGGTAACCCTACAGCACCCCATGGGGAAACTAAGGTTCAGAGAAGATAAACAACTTCACTAAGATCACAGTTACGAAAGCACAGGAGAAGATCTGATATTCTGTGTTCCCCAACTACTGTATGAGTTGAAATCGGGAAATAGGACTAAAATCGTGTCTTCATTGCAGGCAGTTGGCTGGATGTTCATTGAAGAGAAGAATAAACATGTCAATTTTAATAAATTTGTGGAAACTATAAAAAAAAAGCAGAGGAGAAGAATTTCTGACCAGACAGGCCTGACTCCAGAGTCTCTGTTGCCAGTCAGTGCACAGCTTCTTCCGCACACCCAGAAATAAATTTCTTTTTTAACATTTTTTATTTATTTTTTTATACTGGGGATCGAACTCAGGACCTTTCACTTGCCAGGCAGGTGCAGCATCACTGAGCTACATCCCCAGTCCTAGAAATAAGTTTCTGAGGCCCCCTGTACTTGTTAACTTGAAGAAGGAAACATATGGAGTTGCCTTATTAAAGAGAAATACAAATTTAGACTGCTAGGAATGTATGGACTAAGATTACTAGATTAGAGATCAAGTGAGTCTTCATGGAAAAAAATCGTACAACTTCCATTTCCTATGTAGTCAACATTCATTACCCAACTATTTTTGCATAAAGATTCCTTTATGCAATGGTTTTATTGATGTTAAAGAGATTGTATTTATAGATAGAAATATTCTGCTTCTCAGAATTTGTAAACTATCGCAAGCAGCAATTTCTGTTACACATAGGTTGCAATGGTCCATTTTTACCCTATATTTATATAATACAAATATAAAGGAGGCTTTTCAGATGTCTTATTTCTTAGAATTCTAGTCTGCTTGTGTTTACAGGGTGGACATGTTTGCCATCATGACCTGGCTGAGTGCCTGTTTAATTGCTACTGTGACTCAGTTGCCTTGTGAAAGGCAGCTGACCAGAGTCCTTGTGACTACATTGCACATCTGCAAAGACCTAAATGGCTCAGTGTAACTGCTCCAGATAATAAGAGCTATACTCTGCCTCCTGTAAAGTAGAACAACAGAGTAGAAACAATTACCTAGTATTTTGGGGGGGGGGGTACCGGGGATCAAATTTGGGTCCTTGTGCTTGCAAGGCAGGCAGCGAAACCACTGAGCTAAATCCCTGGCCCAATTACCTAGTATCTTTTACAACTCATCCCCACCCTGACTTCTATAGAAAAATAACCAACAGAAATTATGAACCTAGGAAAGTCATGGATCAAGGCTGCAATCCCACTGTGAAGGGACAATCATGAGTTGTCTTTAATTTCTAAGAATTAATCTGCTTTTTTACAAATGGCTTAAAATGTGGGGAATCCCAGTTCCTTCACTTGAAAAGCATCATAAAGAGACAAAACCAGAGCCAGGAAAAACAGTGGCAAGGGAATGAGGATCAAGATTCTCCTTTTCAAATGTTGGAGATGAAAATACATGTTTGTGACACTATCTAGCACTGAGTACTGCACACAGTAGGTGCTACATTAATGCATACCAATATATATCTCTTAAAGAAAAAAGGCAAAGAGAAAAGAATGGGACCCAAGTGTTAAATTTGGGTTGAGAAACAGGACAGAAAAGAGAAAATGCATCTCTAGGATAGCTTTGAATTCCCAAAGTACATCAGAACAAAAACTAAAACCCCACTAATCTATTTCCAATCAATTCTTAGAGTTTCCATCAGGACAATGACTCTATTCTCTGGGAATTAATTCACCCCAGATACAGAATGAAGGGCAGGCAGGCAGGCAGACAGAATGATGGAGAAGCTGCTGACCTGGGAAAGAACCCATTTTTTAAATTATAAATTCCACTGAGAACTCTATCTCATCCACAAGATCTGCAGATATTGGCCTTGCTCTTGCTCTCCTAAGTGCAGTGTTAGATGAAATCAGAAGCGAAAGGAATGGGAGGCATTTGACATTGCTCATCAGGACAAGTTTATGCACCACCACATTCCACCTTATTACATGATTAAAGCTCTTCTGCTACTTCACAGGACAACATTTTCTTGGGGCCCCTACAACTTAAAAAATAATTATCCTACATCTGCATATGGTATATTTTTACTTCCCCAAGATACGTATTAAAAATCCTCGTATGTTCCCATTTCAATCACAACTCAGCAACTCTGATGTTCCTAATTGTTCTCTAAGCTGTATAACTTTTTATTCCTTTTGCTTCCCAGTTTCAAGTGCTAATTTCCCAGATTTAATAATAACTCTGTACCCACAAGACACATGTCTTCCACTTAAGTAAAAAGTCATTTTTCTACATAGCTTTAGGCCAAACACGACCATGTATCAGAATTGCCTGATAGCTTGTTAAATCACAGATTGCTGGGCCCCATCTTCAGGGTTTCTAATTCAGTAGTCTAAGTAGAGGGGTGAGATTTCACTTTTGCAGCTACTTCTTTTGGTGGTGCTGATGCTGTGGTCTGGAAATTCTACTTTGAGAACCACTGGCTTGGGAGCTGTCAGGTAGGGACATGGCTGTAACAGGAATTCTCAGGTAGAGATTGAAGGATAGATGCCCTATTTGCTGGAACACTTTGAGAGTTCCCCTTAGATGCGTATTTTAAAATCCATTTTCCCCGGTGAAGGTGGTTTTCCCCAAACCAAAGCTCATGTTTTGGTTTTTTCTTGCAGTCACTATTCTAAGAGGCAGGCTCCTGCAGTTATCAAGGTCCATCTGGGCCTCCCACCAAGTTCTGTCTTCTCAGATATCTTCACTTGCTATCACATTGCTCTCTTGCTCAGTTCTTCTTATCAAGTTGCAGTGACACTATCAGTTCAGACACTCTTAGCTCAGTGAGATTAACCCTTTCTCTAAGCTCAGGGCCAGAAACCACAGCTGTTCTCCACACCTTCCCTCT